GTCGTCGGCGTCGTCGTCATCAGATACAAAAGGTTTGTCTAGGCTTTTGTTTGTTCGTTGTTGGAGTATTATTAGAACACAAAAACCAAGTAAGCGTTAAGATCGCGAAAACAGAAACCAACAAATAAATAAACTTTCTCATCTGCAAGCCAGACTTAAACCAAGACCAAGACCAAGACCAAGACCGAGACAAAGGCCAAGTCCAAGTCCAAGTCCAGGCCCAACCAAGCCTTCACCTTCACTCACTGCAGCAGCAGCAGCGGCAGCCTTACCACCGCCAGTGGATCAAATTTCACCCACAGTTGCGTTTTGACGTTGATTAGCATGTGGCATACATAAATCTCGTGGATTGGGTCGGGCTTCCGTTTCCCTTTTCTGACGCCCGACGGCCGACGCCCGACGCCTGACGCACTCCAGATGCCAGGCGGGAGATTGTTTAGGCGAGCATAACGCGCTGCACTTATTACGAGTATGCTGCCAGCTGGGAGACTTTGACTTGGACCCGTGCATAATGAGGCCAACGATCTTGGCCAAGAAGCCAGCCAAACAGCTTAATGAGCCACCAACCAACAAGCAACAAGCAGCAAGCAGCTCTGGCCGCGAGCTCTGTCTTGTATTAGAATGCGAGCAACTGACGAAGACGAAAGTAAAATGCTTTGTGAAAGTTTCCATTTCTCTCCTTCTTTCTGGCTTGCCAAAAACCATACTCATAGCCGTGCACATCAAGATCATTTTTCTTCTTCTGGCCGGGATAATTAACGTTCATCAGCCGCACAATTGAAAATGATCAAACGATCAGTGCCGGAGAACACAGCTGGAAAGCGTTTTCTAGGGGTAATTACTCGGCGAAACCCTCCGTCCCATACCCATACCCATCCCCATCCCCATCCCAGTTTTACATCTAATTATTTATCTGATTTGAACCTCGGATGGGGATTTGTGTCAGATCTGCCAGATCTGGGGTGCATCTGGGTGAGGAAAGTTCTTGTGGCAAATTGCACCCAAATGCCAAATGGCTTCCGCCCCTCTGGCCCACGGATGGCCCACTCCAGGCAACCAGGCAACTGGTTTATCTTTTGGGCAATCGTGATCTGGCAGAACCACGAAAATGGAACAACCGCGCGCTCATTGTTTCATTGTATCAAACCATCATCAGCGGACGTTTTGTTTTGGCTTTTAGTTCCGATTCTGGGCTAATGGCGGTCGCACTTTTAATGATTATAATGATTATTATTATGAATGTTGTGGTCTTGTGGGGGAGGGGGGACCTAGAAGATTGGTGTCAAATTTGGGAATACTCTAGCCTGGTTTCGGATATGGCTTCAAGTCAGGTTTAAAGTTCAGAAATGGCATTCAATGGAGCTCTAAATGATGACTCGTTTTCGTTAGGGTTCGATGGGAATAATTGGATAAGTATATACTCGTATTGCAACACACAAGAAATCCCTTTGGGGAACAAACAATGCTGTTATGCAAATAGTTAATGTCTTTTGTCTGTTGAACCCCAACTAAGTTCAGTGGAGACGCCTTGGAATGGTCTCTGGAGTATGCAAAAACAGTTCTACCGCAACTGGCATCTAAGTGGCTGATGACTGATGTCTGATGACATCACCGGCCAAATACCCTTCTAATTTGAAAAGGAAAGACATTTGTACCAGCGTTTGACGGCCTAGCATGACAATAACCATTACGCACTGACTATATAAAGTGTAACTACAGAAACAGAACTACTACCCGTTTATGGACCTGGACCTGGACCTGGGCCTGGGCTTGGAGGAGCTGGGAAAATAATTTAGCGTAAATAAAAACCTGCCATTCGGTTAATTTTATTTTCCACTTCCCAGCAATTCCCCTCGCGCGCTCCCAGGGAGAATCGGAGAACAACAAGTGGAAGTGCTGGGGCCTGGCCCTGGCTGAAACCACAAGTTCTTCGGCTTGTGCCTGGCTATGGCTATGGCTCGGCTCTGCTCTGCTCTGCTCTGCTCTGCTCTAATGTATGCGCCTGCACCTGCTCTTGCTCTTGGTATTGGTATGGGTATTGGTCGGAATGGTGGTAGTGGTGTAATGGTCTTCCTCGGATTGCATTGCTGTGCCTTTCTGGTGATTTCCTGCATCGCTGCATGCAAGTTATGTCTCTATCAAGTTTAGTATTTGTATCTGACGCCGGGCAGAATTCGCTTCTCTCTGGCGACTTGATGCATGGCCGTAGTTGAAGCGCAACGCTTGCTTGCCACAACAAGTACAACAAGTACTACGAGCAACAGCCACTGCCTCAACCCCAGAACTAGCTGCCACTGGCACAACTTTAGTAACGACTACTGTAACCGTAACCAGCCCCAGCCCAACCCCAGCCCAGTCCCAGTCCCAGTCGCAGTCCCATTCCCAAAACGCGTCTCTCTTGTTCTCGGTGTGTCGCAATGCGTCGCGCGTGAGTATCTTAGCCAAAGCTACCGCCTCTCTCTGTTATGGCCATATCCAAAAGCTACTCGTATTACAGGGTATGTGGTATGAGATATGTGGATTGATATGACCCAATCGGGAGATCTTTGGGCTTTGAGCAAATGTGATCTCATGGATATATATATAATTAAAATTTAATATAAATATAAATACTTGCATATGAAGAGAATGGCTCAAGGACATCTCACAGTCGATCAGCCTTCGTTGTCTCCGTGCTTGTTCTTCTCTAGGTTTCAGTTTTGGCTGTCGCACATTGTTGGGCACATTTTAAAGTCTTTTTCTTGTTCTCGACTGTTTTTCTGTTTCTGCGTGTGGCTTTTCGCATCCCAAGGCACGCCGACCGACCGATCGGCCAACCGACCCCTTCCCTTCCCAGTCCATTCCATTCCGGCCAAGTCCATCCATCCCATAGCCATTCCATTTCTGCTCGGAGCTCATAACTGTTCTTGACGCGCTTACCTTTGAAATTAGTTGGCCTGGCCAACGCCAGTGCCGATGTGCGTTTCGGGCCGGGCTGAGTGACAACAGCTACAACAGCAGCAGCAGCAGCGAGCGAGACCAACTAGCCACGCCTCCTCCGCCCCTGCTAATCAACTGCGTATTTCAATTTACCGTTGCCAAAAAAAGGAAGGAAAAGAACAGAATACTCGTGGAAATTTGTAGTTTCTTTGAGCAGAAAGTGGCTAGAACAGGGAATGGCACTAGAACCAGCACCAGGCAACAGGCACCAGCACTGGAATGGCCAAAAGGAGAAAAGTTCTGCCGAGGTACTCGTACTTTAGTTAATTCAGATTTTTATGCGACACCCGTTAGTTTCAGCATATTATTGCCGTCGCTCCGCCTTGGTTATGGCTGGCTCTGGCTCTGGCTCTGGGGTCGTGCAAATTGTGGGAGCCCACTGTGCCATTTCCTATCCGTAGCTATCCGGCGACGGGCCAGCGGCCACATTAAGTCATTTTCCCATTGAGGTTGCTCCAGATTCCCACACAATTGCTCTGCTTACTCCGCCTCCGCCTCAGACTCCGACTCCGACTCCTACTCCGACTTCTAGCTTGTACTTCGCTTCTCCCTGATTTATTTATTTGGTTGGGTCTCACTAATTTTTATTTGCTTGCAATTTCCAGCTCTTTCGCCAGCTCTTTCGACCCCGCAGCATAATTGCTGGCAAAAGTAAAGAAAACAAAACGGAATTGGGCTCAGGGCGAAAGTGTAGTACGAGTATGCCGCCTTAAATGGGTCTGGGCCATTAAATTGTTTGGCTGATGAATCTCATTTGGGACTTTTGTAGTTTTTCGGACTCTAACGATTTCTAACGATATAAAGCGGGGGTATACAGTTTAATGGGTGCTCCGTGAGAGCTATTCAAAGAAAGATAATCGCCGAAAGCTGCTCAATTAACAATTAACCATGCTTATGTCGAGCAGATCAAACCAGATTCATTTATAGATTCATAGGAAAGACTCTGGGTACTCGTATATTGAATGCAATGCCTCGTCTTTATGGCTTTCCTTAAAAGTAAGCATTCTCCTAAACAAGCCAATTATGTTCACACAATTCAGTTGAATATTTAACCAAACTATTTTTGACTTTCCCAAGCTTCTCGTTTCGAAGAATTTTCACTTTGGATTCCCAAGAGGGGAGTCCCTTCGCCTGCCTTCGCCTGCAGTTCAGTGCCCCACAGAAGATCTCATTTCACTATCAAACCTCTAAGCCGTATCCAGCTGTGTCCGATTTTAGAGAGCCCCCCCCGGCCCCCAGCCCCTCTAGCCACTTCCATAAAAATAAATGATATACTCGTAGGCAGGGGCAACGGCAAAGGCAACGGCAACGGCAACAGAGACATCCACAACAGAGACGGCAGACAATGGAACGTTTTACTAACTTAATTCTACATCTCGCATCAATCAAGACCCCAACACACCAACACACGCGCACATGTGTATGCATGTAGGTGCAACATAATTATATGATTAATAAGCCCCATTGTGAGTGTTCGAGTGAGTGTACGAGTGAGTTGGGTGAGCATGAAAATGAAAGTGCTGTCGATAGAGTGGGGCTGGGTGGGCCCAGAGTGAAGAGCCGAGACGGGGAAGGCAAAGCGATGATCGCCGAGCATGCGGATTGCAATTTGCCGTTGCACTCTTCGAATTTTCTTCTACATCCCGCAATACTCGTGCGGAGGCCCGTTATGGTGAAGATATGGCTACGGCTATGGCACCCCAGGGAGTTTCCATTGTTTGCTTTTAATTTTCGACGTGCGATCGCAGAGATGTGTAGCGCAGAGAAGTGCAATTAAACGCGGGCAAATTGCTCCGCGATCACTCATCTAGCGGCTCGAAAGATCCACATACATGCACAGTCTTGTTATTAACACTGTCCAACCTAAACAAGTACAAATTACAGTTTGGTATTGACATATTGAATATTCAGCGCAATCTCTTCTAATGGGAGGATGACAAAAGGGAGTACTATAAATGCCACTTCCATCTATCTGTCCATCTAAAGATGTTAATCTGCAGGGACTCTCTAACCTTCGATCTCCTTAGATTCAGTCCTTCAATTTGCTGCACACTGTTAATATTGGGCCTGCTGAAAGTTGGTGTCAACTGGGCTTTGGTTGGACATTAATAACTCCGGTCCATACGTACGAGTATAATACCCGGCGCTTTGTCTCGTCTCTAATGCATGCATGCTTTGGAGGTAATTAGGGTCACCTGAGAGCCGAAAGAGATGGAGCAGCACTCGGCTACCATATGGGTGGTTTGACTCCGGGCCAAAAGTTCCGTCAACTGGCAGCTGACAAATGTCAGAGCAGAGAAGCAGCCTCGTGAACGGGCTAAACCTTTTTTAATAGTCATGCCCTATAAATATATATGTACATATGTATGTAAATACGTCGACATACCTCGAATGTATGTTGCAGCAGCCAGGGGAGAGTAGATCCAGATCCAGATCCACATCCAGTTCCAGCACTCGGTCGGTTCAATCAGATGCCAGAAAAACTTTGCATGGCCCGTGAATTGGGTTAGAAGCATCGCGTTGCACAGCCATCGATGGAATTAAGTTATCGATGCCAAATGCCAGTTGCCAGATCGAGATGGAGATGGACGCGGAGATGGGGCTGCTGCGAATGTGCTGAAACCGTGCTAATGCTAAGGAGGGTATCGATGATGGGTCTCTCTGTCTTCATTTCGCTTTGCTTCTTCACGATCCCCGAACATCATCGAGATGACGAGCTGTCGGTGCGATGCGATGCGATGGCCAATGTGGGTCGCCACTGGAGCGTTGATTTGCCACTTCTGGCAGCGTGTCATACGTGTATAGCTCTAAAATTGAGACATACTCGTAGGCATTGACTGGAGTTTGTGTACGAGTCTCCCCGAGGAATGAGGCAGCATCGATCTGATCAGCTGCCACCAGCTTTCGGAGCGAGAATCGATCTGACAAAATGGCTCAAGCCACTCCGTAATGGCTCATCGACTGCCAGAGGCCTGCGATCGTCGAGGCAGGCAGCTCTGTATAATTAAATGCTTGCTAAGTAAAAACTATAATCAAAACATACTTTGATTCCCTCGCCTTGATCAGGGGGTTGCCGAGAGATGATGATTATGCCGGACAAGGCAAAGAATAGATTAGTTGAGGTAAAATTATAAATAATAATAATATGCAACTCTTGTAGTGCGTATAAAATCGTAGAAAATATGCCCTGATTATTACTACAAAAAGAAAAGTGTTGATAACTAATTGGAAAGTTATTTAGCAAAGCCCTTTCTCCCTGCGGGCGGCTTCCGTTTCCCACCAACCCACCAACCCAGTCCCAATCCCAATATAACCCAAGTAAAAGCCACAAGGGGATCAAATTCGGATTTAAATGAAATTGAATATTCGAATATTCATATGCAAATTTCACACAACAAACAGAAGCAAATTGAGAGCCACAATTAATTGGCACCGGGAGAGTTTAGGGGGGAATGGCAGGCAGTAGGCAGTGCTCTCTGTCTCTGTGTGGCTACGTGGCCCCACCAAGTAGTAACAATAGTTAGGCCAAATTAAACAAGCCATAACACACATCTGGTGTATGTACATATGTATATGAGTGTACATGAATATTCAGTGCGGTTGATTGCGGTTGCAAATTATAATTTCAATTTCGAGCCAGGGTCGGGTCGGGAAAAGTTACCCAGCCCCGACCAAGTCTCAGATGGCACTGGGATGGCGTTCGCGGACGGGGCTGACTTGGCTGACATCCCATGGCAGCGTTGAAAATCGGCCAACCAGCGAACCAAGTGGATTATTCAGAGCGGCGGTGGGCCTCTTAAGACTTTAAGCCATAACCGAAAGGCTGGGACCCAGTGCGATAATTTCGGTTTTATTTTTCTTGCCTCGCGGGGGATCTAATGCAGACAACGGAGGACCCGGCATTGGGCTGCTGCACGCAGAGAAAAACATGCTATACAAAAAATTCAATTTTTGAATAATTTTCAGAAGAAAAGCAACACGGCTTTTATGTCTTTTAAATTGGCCGTAAACTTTAGGATTTCTGATTTGGTAAAAGCAAACCATCATGCGAGCATGGGGCATCCCCTCCTCTCTCTGCGTGTAGGCCTAGGTAATCGCCTGGTAAGTAGTAATTGCTAATTACTAATAATTTAATAGTTGGAAAATATGAAGCCGAACAGCAGCGCTAATGATCGTCATTAAGTCGGCCCAGGGGCCCACCATCGCCAACGTCATCTTCAACCATTTGGCTAAGCAGCTGCAATAAGTCTTGCTAACAGGCCGAGGGCTGGAGAAGGTGGAGGCTCGACAAATGCCACTGGAAAGGGAAGGGAAGGGTGGACGGTGCAGATTGCATGCGAAAACTTCCGCAAGTCTTCACATCCGCTGCCTCACGACGCGGCCACAACACAGAGGGCAAGGCGAGGCAAGGCAAGTCCAACGTTTCTTCACACCCAAGTTCCACGGCCCCAGGAAGTGGAAGTGACACATTCCAAGCCGATCAGCCAGCCAGCCAGCCAGCCAGACAACCAGACAGACCGACTAGCGCTTGCATTGTTCTCAAATCCTTACTGACATACTGAATTTGTTTCGCCAGCATTGTCTTGGTGTTGGTCTTGGTCTTGTCTAACGCTTGCTGTTCATTTGTCGCCAGCTGCCTCAACCGTTGCATTTGCCGCTGAGTGATTGCAATCTCATTATGTTCGTCAGTAGTCCGACATGGACCTCCACACAGACGGCAGACAGAAGACACTAGTCGGAGATGGAGATGGAGGAAGCAGAGCAGAAAAACCTGCCTGAAAGGCATTCCAAATTATGCAGTAAAATTGTCAAAGAAGCCGTGGCGTGTATACATTGTTTTACACTTGTTAAATCATTGTCATTCTTCAGATTTGGTTTAGTTTAGTTTCCGTTTTTTTGCTGTTTATGTGGGCTCCGATTACCATCTGGATCCGCGACGCGCCTCGTTAGAAGACTGGCTCGATGTGGAAATCCCTCGCAGTACAGTACATATAGGTTTATTAGGACGCACTTAAAGCCACTGTTTCAATGTTTATCGTCGTGTATATTATTCAGTAAATGTTCTACGTTTAATGTGTAAATACAACTTCTGTTGAGCGTTGTTTCAGAACTCGCTTAATTCGAATACTAAACTATTGGCACATTTTCAGAATTTTCATATTGAATTTCCATATATAGAAAAGCTGGCATGCAAACGAAAAGTGCAGATCAAACTGGGACTATCTATCATAGCTTATACGAGCAACATGGATCGCTGCGATGTGCAGAGTTGGCATCTTACAGTGTTAAGTGCTGATTAGCTCTAGTCTATAAATGGGTATACAATCTTAGTACGAGCACACACCCAAGTCGTTAGATATTTTAGGAGTAGGTGGGTATGCACACGACAGTAGCTGCTGCCTAGCATAACATTTGTTCACATACAGTTTGCGTATTGTCCGTTCACGAATAAATATACATTGAATATAGATATAGGTATGCGATGTACGATATATACGATTCACAAAGTCCATTGGTAGATACTATTTTTGGTACACACTCTCCGACTGCCCAGGGGGATGCAAAGTAAAACATTCTTATAGGTTTCAAAATTTAAAGCTAGGTAGAAGCGGCGGCGGGATTTGTTTCATCGGAGTGGGCGAGAGGCCGTGGCTGGGGCCGTCCGTCGATGGATGCTACTTGCATAGTCAACACTTGGGGGTGTTGGCCCCGCTGCTCACGCTGCTCGTCTCCAGGTGCTGCATGAGCAGCTGCTGGAGGTCGGCGCGCAGGGCCCGCTCCTCGTTGATCTGCAGCTTGATCTGGGACATGTCCTGCTGCATCTGGCGGATGGCGGTCCAGAGCTGGCGCAACGTCGGTGTCATGTCCTCGTTCTCAAGGCCTGCTCGGTTGTGGGATTTGGATTTGTATTTCAGGTGGATAAAAGAATAAAGAACAAAATATGTTAGTGTTGTGTGATTGGTTGAGGATCGGATCGGATCGGATCGAATAATGATAAATGTATGTATGTAGAAGGGGGTGAAAAGTGATACAAATAGATGTCTATGGCTATGTCTATGTATAATGTATACGAGTATGCGTAAATCATAATTGTAAGCTATCAAAACGGAAATTAAGAAAGTGCTAGGAAGAATTGCTGCTGGTAGCGTATCTTATATCGTACACTATGTAGTTCTGGATCCACAACTCAAAGCTTGGCTCCCGAATTGCAACATTTGGATCTAGATCTAGTCTAACTACAATACATCAAATTATACTAGGTATATTTCAAAAGTGTATGGAGTGAGTATATGGAGATAAGTATAAATATTAATGAACAACACACAACAGCCACACAGACAAACAATGGGAGATTTGGCTTGTAAATGAATTTATTCATAATTCGTTTCGTTTCGTTTTGTTTCGTTTGAATCATCTCACTCGCCTCTCGACTAATATCAATTCAATTCGAGTACAATACAAACGTATAAACTGATTAATAGTAGATTATAAGGTAGTTCATTTGGTTAGACAACGTTTTCACAAAACACTTACAAATACGTTGGGGAATCCGTTTCGTTTCCCTCGTTTAATAATGCACAACAGTAGGTTACTTTGATTTAGTTGCTGGTTTTAGCTATGGCTAAGAGACTTGACTCGGCACAGGGCTCGCCTCTACTTGGAGGCCCCTCAACGCCTTTGATTACACATTGCACGTTCTTTGATTCGAATCATACTCTACGAGTATGCTAGGCAGGTAACGCGACTACACACGAGTACAGGTAATAAATATGTATCTAACTGGGCAGCAGTCTTCCCATTTTGGTTTAGTACGCACAAACATAAATACGATTACGATTACGATTACGAGTAGATGCAAGTGTTTATAGTAGTATAAATATAGTTTACGCTATGGCAAAGGATAATCTACCCAAGTATACAAATATAGAGCTATAGCAAAACGTGTTCCACTCTCGCATGGCCGTACACAAATACAAAATATAGGATCTAAAGCCGAGGACGGAAATATAAAGCCTTTCTGTTCAGCCTAAACCATTTGTTATATAGTTGTGGTGGCAGAAGCCAGAAGCCAGAATCCAGGAACCAGATGCAGCTGCAATTGCTGTTGCACTTCAAGTGTCATCCACACAAATGGATGGGATAGCATCCAAGAGCTAGTCTCTATTTCGCTTAGTCTTGTCGCGGAGGCGCCCAACTACAAGGGGCACACACTCGTATTACAAAGTCAGCTATGGTAAACACACACAAACATTACTCGTAATTAAATATAGACACATCAAGGCGGCGCTTATGGCTAGGCTAGGACTGGCAAGTAATTTGTACAAACATTTGGTCAAGTGACGAGGAGCAGCCTCGGGTTTCTAACGAATTTTCTCTGGTCTTGTACAAATTAGTTGTCCGGTTGCTCATTGAAACATTACTATCTAAGGCTAAGGCTAAGGCTTTTGGCATTGAAAGCGTTGAGCAGCCAGTAATCAACTAAAAATAATTAAATATTCTTCAATTATCGCACACAGAGCGCATTCAAAGCAAAGCTGGGGCAGCAGCTTGAGCTGAAGCTGGAGCCGAAGCAGGCGGCAATGCGGGATGCGAATGCTGATGCTGATGCTTATGCTGATTCGGATTCGGATGCAGATGATTGATGAGGCATGCCCCGACCACACAGACTCAGGCCAGACTCAGACGTGGTTGATCTTGCGCCACTGCTTCATCACAAAATTACCGCAACACCAGCTGCCCGACTGCCGCTTGGTACCGTCAGAGTTCAGCTCCAGGGAGGCCGGACCCGCTCCGTTGCGCAGCAGTGAGGCACATCCGTGGTCGCCGCGCTCCACATCGCTGTCGTCCGACCGCTCGGCTCCGGCCAGCTGCGGCGTGCTCCGCTGAAGGGTGCTGGTGCGCAGGGCCCCG